TAGTCAGTATGGTTATAATAACTCATTAAAAAGATATTAACAATATGTTAGTGTATAAATAACTAAACATAAGTACATTTTCAAAGTACTAGTTTACAAGATACAATTTACAGTATTACATTACAGTTTACAATAACAGTTGATGAAACCAGGCACACTCTCAGTTACAAGTTTACAAAGGTATACAAATACAGAACATTGGTTTACAAACAGAACGGTTTTATGTAATTAAAACTACTTTTCATATACAACAGAAAATATTGGATTTTCTGGAACAGTTTACTTATTCAAGAAACAGATAACATTCATTCAAACATAAATACTTATGCACTCACTCAACTTTATGTTGATACTCTCTTTTCAAATTATTTGTATTCTCAGGGAACCAGTAGATAGGTACTCCCCGTGCTTTTGAGAAGATGGAGTTATTTATGTCTTGTCTTCTTCTTTTGTATAACTATTTGGTTTCAGTATACAATGATGAAACACATGTAAATACTTATACTTTTTAAATACAGTGGTTGTTTGTACTCTGATTACTATAATGCATGTGTTGTGATACTACAAATGAAGTCCTCCACCCCCCGAACGTTTCCGCCGTCTGGTTTGGGGGTGTGACACCATGCACCTTCTAAGCCTTTGTTTTGGCCTTTTAAGCTTCTTTTGGCCATACATGCAAGTAAAGTTGGAGACTTTATGTGACCTTTTGTCCTTTAAGGTCCAGATCTATGTTCTTGAGTATTATCTTGATGATATGATGATTTTTGGTTTAAGTCATAAGCCTTTTTGGATTAGGGTTTGAGATTAATGCCTTTGGGGTGGTTCTTAATGGGTAAAGTTGGAAACTTTACCCTTCTAGACGTATTCTCAGTCTAGATCTGGAAGATAGGGCTTTGGTTTGAAGAATAGTGGCTTAATGCATTAAGTGGGTTGGCAGACTGATGAACTCGACGAGTTGATAGGGGAACTCGGCGAGTTGGTTTGGGTTTGTCCCGATTCTGTTGAAAAAGGAGGAACTCGACGAGTTAAAGGGAAACTCGACGAGTTGATTTGAAATATCACGATTCTGTGATATATGGAAACCCGGTGAGTTGAAGGATAACTCGACGGGTTGAGTCAACTCGGAGCGTTAACTTTGACCTTGACTTGACTTGGATGTTGACTTTGACTTTGATTTTGACCAAATTGACCCTTAAGGGGTTATGAGTATGGAATGTCATCTAAGGGGTTGTTTTGTTTAGGGGTTGAGTAGAGCTGATTCCGGAGCAGAGGTGTTTGCAGCTATCAGCTGGCATTTGAGGTGAGTTTCCTCCCAGATTTAACGGGTCGAAGGCACCAATGTCGGCCCGTGTTTATAATTATATGTTCCGGACCAGGGTCTGATGTCAGGCAGTGCCCGATGGTTATTTATATGCCTTCTGGATTACGGTCCGATGTCGGGCGGGGACCGAGGAATAGTTGTATGTTTTATGTCTTTGTGACTCTTGCATATGTCTGTACTTGTATGCTTTCGGACTAAGGCCCGATGTCGGGCGGTGCCCGATGATTATTTGTATGATTGTATCTATGTGATTGTTGTATGCAAATATTTGATATGTGTCATATGCATGCCGAGCTCAGCTCGATGCCGGGTGAGACCCGATGTCGGGCGGGGCCCACTATATGTGATTATATGTATGGTATGCGGTAGTTTGGGGAAATTCACAAGGTTCGTGCTTACAGTTTTCAGTTTTGGTTTCAGGTAATTCCGGTAGCAAAGGGAAGAGCTCGGGATGACTGCATTGCACACACCATGATATTGTTTTACCTGGGATGTTACTCTGATTTTATTGTTATGGATACTATGATTCACGTTTATGATGGGATGTTTTGATAACTACTGTTTATTTAATAATAAAAAATGAAATTTTTGGGATCATATTTTATGTATGTTACAATCTTTAAGGTGTTATAACTAATAAAAGACAATTACAACATGAAATATATAGATTACTTATAAAGTTTCCATGTGAATATTGTTCTTGAGTCATTAGATAGTTGAAAGAATTTTTTGAAGTTGAAAATATGAAAATGATGGTTATTTTAGAATTTTAGGTTTATATATACTACCAGCCCATGGGCCAAAAATGGGTCAAATTTGCAGCTCATGTACATGAGATCGCAGTTGGAAGGCATAAAATCACAAGTGAGCTCCATCACCTGCGATTTGTATGACTATTTTTGAAAAAATGTTAATTTTTGGCTATTTTTTTACAAAGTTATTAGTAAATATGACTATTTTTTTAAATATGACTATTTTTTACAAAGTTATTAATAAATATGACTATTTTTGTAAATACCTAAAATCTAGGCTTCTTTTTCTTTTTTATCTATTTAATTTGTTTAAATAATAAACTATTTTACTTAAACTTAAACACTGATTCTTTTTTATTTAGCCTTACTTTATTTAATTAATTATTTGATACGAATGGAGTTAAATTTCTTAAAATATTATTTGTTCGAAGGATATTATAGCGTAGCGAACTAAAAATATATGACTATGTTATATGATGAAATTACTTAGCAGTTAATGCAAAACATTGAATGAACAATTTAAAAAATTATTATTATGGTTGTATGGATTATATTTTAGTATTGTAAACTATAATTATTTAAATTTTGGTGTTAATTAACCTTTTTATGTTTGAAAAATCAATTTATTTGTATGTTATTTTATTTCAGTAGTCTGTAGACGTTAAAAAATAAATATTTTTTTTACAGACTGCAAACATTTGATCCACTTATTTTTTTTTTATAAATGCGGTCCAAAAAGTGCATTCTTTTATCTCTTATAAAACAATGAGAATATGACTTATCATGGTAATTACCTTTTTGTTTTGTTCATATCTAGCTAACTTTTTTTTTGTTTTCTTTTTACACATCTAGATAACAAACTTGTTGAAAGTGTTTACATATGACCATTATGCCGACTGTAGTACAGTTGATCATAATGATCATATGTACACACTTCCAACAAGTGTGTAATCTAAACGTGTACAAAAAAAAGTTAACCAAATATGAACAAAACGAAAAGATAATTACACTGATAATTCATTTTTTTACCTTCTAATTTTGATTTGGTATATAATTTAACATAAATGGTAAATTTATTTAAAATCATACCATTTTTGTAAATATCTTTTTAAAATACACTATTTTGGTAAAAGAAAAAAACTCCAGATTTGACAAGGAAAAACACATGAATATCATCTTCAATAAGATTTGTTCTATGTATTAAAATCTACATCGATATTCTTGTATATATAT